GTTTGACTTCGCTTACCGCATTTCACCGTCGCATTCGTTCATGGCAAAAAATACAGTTAAAAAATAAATAATATGGAATAAAGTTTTGAAGTGTCCTATATGTGAGAGATATAAGAAAACTCAGGATAATGTATTTTAATTGTTTTACCCATGTTTGTTCAATTTACTAATGGCACTTTTAACCCTTGTTCACTTTGTGTAATTTCTGGGCTCCCTTCAGATGACTCATTGAAGCTTGTGGGCGTCGTAGAGGAAAACAACCAACATGTCCTTGTTCATGAGAGTTTCTGCTTTCGATGTACAGTGCCTATTGGAAGTCTACACCCCCCTTGGATTTTTATTGTTTTACAAAATGGGATTAAATTGGATTGAATTGTAATTTTTTGTCTACAATCAACACAAACAATCGTATTATAATGTCAAAAATAAAACACTAATATACCTTGATTAGATAAGTATTCACCCCCCTGAGTCGATACATGTTAGAAACACCTTTGGCAACCCTTAAAAAAAAAAAAAAAATGTTGCTGCAAACTTCCCGCAAATTTGATGCAAACTAAACAGTGTGCCACAAAATGTTGCCAGAAGTTTGCAAACATTTGCCGCTAGTGGTGAATCTGCGGCATACCTTTGGCAAAAATACTTTTTATTGCCACTAGTGGCAAACAGTTCACCAGAGGAGGTTTTTTTCTATCAAACAATTCTCTCACGATTCTATTTGAATCTGTGGCAGCAACATTTATTGCCACTAGTGGCAAACAGTTTACCAGAAGCCGTTTCTGGTGAACACATGAGACCAGTAACCGTTGATGACCAATCAAGGGGATTAGAAACGTCTGTTGGAAAATGGAAACCAGCGATCTAGCTAGCTACAGTACCTACTAAAGTTGTCCGGTGAGTGTCTAACTTATTAAACTTCCTAATAAACGTTGTATTAGCTAAATGATGTCTAGTTAGCAATGTCATAGAGTTAGCAATGTCATAGTTAGCAATGGCATAGAGTGAAACACATTTTGTTGATACCAGTTTCAATCTGTCAGCGCCACTGACTGACTGACTAACTAACTAATGATTTGCCTAAACACTTATATTTTTAGGTGAATACGTTGCTGTCTTTTAATGCTAATGCTAATATATGCATGTCAATATGCAAGGGTCACGGTTCAGTAGAATGTTAGCTAGCACAATAGCTAAGGTAGCTAGCAACAATATTAATTGATTTGACATCCAAAAGCAAACTTCACTTTTGTAGATCAATACCTTTCCCCTACCTGTGGTGTTGAAAGAGGCTGTATTGGGAGGAGGATGCATCAACACCCTGGAAATATGTTTGTGGTGTACCCACTCATAACACCTTTTTTTGGTGATAAATTAGTGTATCGTCTTCAAGGTTGATAAGGTAAGTAAAGACATGTATTATTCTCATGAATGTAGCCCATAAATTCATTATTTGTAACAATTAGATATTTCATTGCTTTAAACTAGTAGCTAGCTCATCTTGATCAGATGTTGTTCCTTCTCTCTTTCTAGAAGCAATCAGTTACAAGGCAAAAATACAGATTGAGACCAATCAAACTGAGGACAGAGAAATGTGTGCACCAGACAGGTCAAGGCTTCTTGCATGCATGGCTTTGAGATGTAACTTGCACTCAAAAAATGTTTGGGTTGTTTAGATGACCCAATTGCTGGGTTGCATGCATTAGGTAAATTGTTGGGTTGTTTTCTGTAAATACAGCTAGGTTGGGTTGTTGGTGCTGGGTTATTAAGGCTGGGCTATGGATATTTCACCCAGCCAGTGTGTTAATTCTCCCGCCACCAGCGCGGGAAGTCCACCATAATACTTGCAAGTGTTCTAGTGTTACTGAGTGACTGACGAGTGGAAAATGGCTAACGTTATTTTGACAGACTAAGGGTGTTTAGGCTGACTGAAAACCGTGACAATGGTAAGTAACCAGTGTTACAAATTATGAATTTCATGGTCATTCAGGTTAAATAGGTTGTCCTATCCTAATTAGGTAGCTAGATAACGTTAGCTTGAGCGTTACGACCGTTAGCTAGCTAGCCATTTTCTGTGCTAATATCTCTGGCTGTGGTAACGTTAGCTAACTAGCCAATGTTAGCCTCGCAACCATGCTCGCAACGCTAGCTTACTGAAGTGTTGTCACGGAATATAACTAAATGTACATTTTTTGTCGACGTTTGGCTAGCTAGCTAACTATGTCAGTGTCTGTAATGGTAGCTAGCTAAAGTTTAGCTAGCTACCTTAGCTAGCGAAGTCTGACACTTCTTGACTGTCTCGGACACTGTTTCACTCGTTAACTAAGTTAGCTAGCTGCCTAGCTAAGTTACCATAGCTAGATTTTACTTATTCTCCATCTGGATTAATTTAATAAAGCTATTTGTGTTGATAATCACAAGTTTACTGGAGAACTGAGACCAAGTAGAGACTTTGGACAGGGTGGATATGGTATAATAAAGGCAGTTTATTCAGAGGTAAAGATATCTGGAATCGCGTGCACGGACCCGTTCGTCAAACTCTTAGGGAGCTATCTGAAGAGAGCCCCGAAACATTGTGTGCTGACATTTTATGCAATAAAATGAAGTAGGTTGAATCTAGTAGTTCTGATCTTCTGATTGGTCCTGATGAGTTGGGCGAGGTCCCCTCCAGGCTAGTGTCACTGTTGCATTGGCTCTGAGTCGGGTTCTCTGTCTTCAGATGTTCAGCCTAAGAGAAGGGGATTTTTGTGTGTGTGTGTGTGTGTGTGTGTGTGTTTAACAGTGATGATGTGTGTGTGTGTGTGTGTGTGTGTGTTATCAGTGATGATGTGTGTGTGTGTGTGTGTGTGTGTGTGTGTGTCCTCAGAGCAAGAACTCGTGAGTTGGAAGAACTGAGAGACCTATGGCGTGGGTGTTGTCCTTGGCCACCTGCTGACAAGGCTGACAAGATAGGACTCTTTTGTCCATTGTATTGAAAACAAACGCCCAACACAAAATGGGTCATGCACAAGATTTTAGTCAGACCAAGCTATAACATTATATATTTACTACGACATTTGGCAGGCTTATATCATGCTTGCATGATGATTGATTGAGTTAGCTACCGTTACTGTACTGGTTTTCAATGGATCCTGACAGTGGTAGCTTTAGTCGGACTTGTGATGTTGAGGAGGATGGATGTAAATTCTGGTAGCTAGCTATTGTTAGAGTTTACCTTAAATTTGATGTAGCCAAGTTAGTTTAGCTAGCTATGTTTCTAATATTTCTTTATTTCTGTACTTAAATGCAGATGTCAAGGCTTTGTAAAGATACGCTGAATGAGTGGAACCTGGCCTCTTTGATACCAAAGTTTGAGGGTAAGTAAAACTGAGAAATTCATTTTTTAAAGTGGGGACAGAGCTTCTGGGGGGGGATAACCAATAGTACAACCTTAAATTAAACTTGAAAGACTTTACTTCCCCAGAGCCTCTTAGAACCATGCAGCCACTTTGGAACTAACATTATATACATAACATGCTACCATTGATTATCTGACCTTCATTTTACCGTACTTGCTTTATTGGTTATTTGCACAGATATTCTGTCACAGTAACCAACCTGACACACAACACACACATCACAGGCTGGGAGCAGCTCATGGGCACTTAGGGGTAAAGTACCTTGCTTAAGGGCACAACAGCAGTAGGTAGTACACAGAGATATTGTAGCTGGTAACCCTCTGGCTGACGGATCACTCCCTGCTGATTTACCAGCAGGCAGCTTGGGAGTTCGAATATCGGCCTGCCTTTCTAACCTCGAAGCTACTGCCGCCCCTCTTCATTTAGCCCTTTCCTCACTTCCTTGCCTTTGTTCAACCCTTTGACCTGGCTTATCAACCCTTCTCTCAAAGTATTTAATTTAGAAATGTGGGTGAAACTATCCCTTAATCTCCCCCCTAGCGGTTAAGAGCGTTGGGCCAGTAACTGATAGGTCGCTGGTTCAAATCCCCGAGCCAGCAAGGTGGAAAAATCTGCCGTTCTTCCCAGTTACCCCCAACAACAACTGCTCCCCGGGTGCCAAAGACGTGGATGTCGATTAAGGCAGCTCCCCGCACCTCTCTGATTCAGAGGTTGGGTTAAATGCGGAAGACACATTTAGGTTTAATGCATTCAGTTGTGCAACTGATTAGGTACCCCCTTTCCCTTTTACATTCTCTTTTGCAGTGGAAGAGATGGACCAGGAAACGCCCTTGCTTTTGGACGACTCGACTATATCCTGAAGTTAAAGAACATAAAAGCCTTACACGCAGTGAGTATTCTGTAAACACCACTTTTTTTTTTTATACATGAGGGGAGGTCATCAGGACACACATGAATACATAGGACTGAAGCCACACCAAGCAATACATTAAGCTTGAACAGTAGCCGGGTCTTGCCAGGTACATGTTGAAAGATTTGTTGTGTATTTTGAAAACTCATTGTTAAATTTTTACGACACAAAAAGATCCCACCATGTCGAATGAACAAATAGTCTGTAGGCATTTATAAAATTGTACTGGCATTTCATGTAATTCATCTGCATGAAATGGTTGGATGGAAACGTGGTTGTGTAAGTGAACCTATGAGCCCCAGCCCCAAATTAATGGAAGATGTAGGCATCAAACAGGGATTGGGTGTTGATTGATGTAAATGGCTATAAAATATACACAATAAATTGTGTGTGATGGCATTGTCAGTGTGACTCCATGCTTTGCACAAGTCCTCATATTCTAAAATCAAAAGATATCTCTAACATGTTGGAACCAACATGGTTGAGTATCTGCACCAGTCAGAGGTGACCAGACCCTACCCATTTGTGTTGGCTCTTAGGGACTGCTCACAGGTGTTTACAGTCATTAGTGGACCGGCATTGGAGCAAGGTACACTGCTTGGTGTCACTGGATGCGTGCTTCAAGTCCTATTATGTGTTTAATATCTACTTTCCCACTGTGCCCCAGCATGGGAATTCCTACAGACCACAGCGTATCAGCTGCCAGGAACAGAATACCCCGCAGCAAGACTGTTGCGAGAATGTATTTTTTCCACTGAACAATAGTGGATAAGTATGATGCCCTTAATCTTAATGGCCTTGCCCGTAATAGGGTGATTGAACATTGTGCATTTGTTGGTAAAGTTACACTGGGTACATCTGGAACATCTATAATTACCATCAGGCACATTGTCTAGGAAGGTACTGCGTGGCACAGGTGGAAGATCAGACCTCACCACCATTTGACTGATGTTGGAGGTGCGTCTGAAGACAACCCACGGAGGTTCTTTAAACGTATTTTCCAATTGTGGATCAGTGCTCAAGATGTGCCAGTTGTTTTAATGATGTGGTCGAACTGTTTACCAAGTGGAGAGTACTGAAGGAAGCATTGAACGCGTTGGTCAGGAGGGCGGGGTGGTTTGGTCGTGAGGCTGTCATCCTGGGTCATATTTTTATAACGATCCCTTCCGTCATGCAGCCATTCCTCTGGGTAACCCCGCTGCCTGAAACGCTAATCCAGATAGTCGGCTTGTTTGTCATAGTCCCTCTGTGCACTATAAATCCTGCGTATGCGACTGTATTGGCTGATGGTGAGGCTCTTTTTTGGGGGTGTAGGGTGGAAGCTGTCTCCGCGTAACAGGGAATTCCTGTCCATCGGCTTCCTTTATAGGTCTGTGCTAAAGCCACACCCCTCCCTCTTAATCAAAATGTCAAGAAAACTTGTTTCATGCGCATCAAAGTTGAGGGTGAATTTCAAAATTCATTGCTTGTATTGATGAAGGAGTGAAATCGATGAAGTTCCTCTGCTGTGCCCTGGAATAGAAGAAATACGTCATCAATGAAGCGTTTCCAGAGCCTGATATGGTGCAAGAATGGATTGTTAGGGCTGAAAAAATATATATAATCAAACATCCCCACATATAGATTGACATAATTCGGTGCCATTTTACTACCCATAGCAGTTTCCTTCTGTTGAATGAATGTCATTTTCAAACATGAAAAAGTTCTTAGTCAGAACAATCTCAGCAAGTTCCAACAATACAGTTAATGCTATGGAGTGTGCCAGTGGGTCGTTGACTAAGATAGTGTGCCATGGCTTCTAGGCCTACCTAGTGGTGGATATTAGTATACAGGGACTCAACATCAAAGCAAGCCACAAGCATCTCCCCATTGATATTGTGAATTGTCTTGAGGGTGTTAATCATGTCCATAGATTCGCGTACATAGGCAGGGAATGACACCACACTGGGTTTTTGAAAGAAATCTACAAAAGCAGAATTATTTTGAGTCAATGAGCCAATGGAGGCCACAATAGGTCTCCCTTGTGGCTTATCCAATCGTTTGTGGATTTTTGGTAAGACATAAATAACGGTGCTGATTGGATTGTCTACTTTCATGAACTCATATTCTTTATGCATAATGTCTCCACTTTCCACAAGAGACTTCAGCTTGCAGTGAATCTCATCTTTGAACAGTGGTAGGGTCACGTGACAATTTAAAGAAAGTGGTGTTGTTTACTTGTCCCCGGATCACATTCACATAGTCATTATGGTTTAATAACACCACAGCTCCGCCCTTATCAGCATTACGCAAAATCAAAGTGGAATAATTTTTTTGAATCATCCAATGCTTGTCTCTATTCTTTAGGGAGATTATTGTAGACTCTGTATTCTCGTTTCTTATTCAGAACCAGATAAATCTTTTTCCACCAATCTGCAGTATGTTTCTAGGGATGGATTTCTGTATCTGGGCGGACAAAAGGTGGATTTGGCTCGAAAAGGGGTATTCGTTCTGTGGGAAATGTCATTCTCTATTGTGTCACCCATAGCCTGAACACTCGTCTCACCCATACTTGACACATCCACATTTGGACTCTTATCATTTATTGGACAGAAGAACTCCCAAGGTCTCAATGTATTAAATAATTTCTGAAACTCTATTGTGGTGTCAAAGTCATTACATGATGCAGTGGAGACGAAAGATAAGCCCTTACTCAAGGCCAACTAACATGAAGTGGTTATGGGACGTGAAGAACGGTTGATCACACTCAGGCATTCTGACTGTGTGTCCAATAGCAGCCTTGCTCCTCTGTTCTTCTTGCCCCTCCGACACTTCTTCCACGTCCGCGGTGCTGCTGACCCCTGTTGGGCCATTGAGGGTATCCTCTTCCCCCCTCGCTTGCGTCCTAAAAAACATCCACTCCCATGGGAATCATAGCTGTAAACCGAATCTACATCAAGAGAAGATGCACTCGAGTGTGGAGGTAAGGTAACCGGTCTTGGGTAGTCTCTGACGTCACTGCGCATCTGTCTACGGCCTCGCCAGGGATTCCCTCTCCACAGATACACCTAATTCTGTTCATAGTCATTGGACTGCCGATTGAACTTCTTAATCTTCCTCGCTCTGATGTCCTGCTCCAGGTCAGTCTTGAATTTCAAAAGTGTGCTCTCCATATTTGTGAGTTTCTCTGGGTCAGTTCCCAGCTAGCACAGTGGATCTGGCCTGATTCCGGCTGAGAGTCGGGCACACGACTGAGAGTCAGACTCGGCCGACGTCATGTGGCCCGAGTCTGGCCCGCCTTCGGCAGTATTACTTATGGCTAGGATACGGGGATTGAGCTCGGGCCGATTCCGGTGTGAATTATCTGGCCCAAATGTATTACTTGTGGCTACTCTCTGGCAGATGATTACACAGGCTTCTTTATACAGTGGGGAGAACAAGTATTTGATACACTGCCGATTTTGCAGGTTTTCCTACTTACAAAGCATGTAGAGGTCTGTAATTTTTATCATAGGTACACTTCAACTGTGAGAGACGGAATCTAAAACAAAAATCCAGAAAATCACTTTGTATGATTTTTAAGTAATTAACTTGCATTTATAGCACTGAGTAGGATATCGACACATAAAACAACTAATGTTAACGTTAAGGGATTTCTAACATGTTTCAAGGCCAGTTTCATAATCAGCAATCAGATTGTGTTGTCTGTGATGTTAACTTACAGCAAACTGCTAACCAACCTCTTCTGATTCATCAACGTGAGTGTTCCCAGAATTTTTTTGAAAGGTTAAAGCAGTCACTTTGACACCTACAAATCTCTGCTCTGTCTCTCTAGCTAATTCCTTCTGCAGCCAGCCAGCTATTCAACTAAAAAAAGTGAATAAGGTTCCTAAGAATTAATGCAAGTCGCTATATATGCCCTTTAGTAATTAAGTTAATCAATGTGTGTTTTAGAGCTCCGGCCCTCAACGTCAGCGTTTGTCAGAAATTACTGAGAAGTATTCAGAGTATAGTTTGACTTCAAACATCCGGCAAAGGTGTACTGCAAACGTGTCAAGATTTCTGACATCTATCCAACAAGAGCAGTCTACACTTAATGTAGAAAATGCTGCTGTTCCTTAGACATTTCATATGTCCAATGAGGCCGCTTAGGATGAACTGTTTGTGGATGCTTTGATGGACACTGCAGGTGTAGGAGAAGGTGGAGGTCAGGGTGAGGTTGATGATGCTGAGGAGAACGTTGATGATAAGGGTGATGATGTCGAGGAGATGGTTGACGATGAGTTTGAAAGTCCAACGGACCGTTTCAAAGGCTACTTGGTGAATTGGGCTCTTGAATATGGAATAACATTAGTTGCGTTAACAGCCCTGCTTTCGATTCTGAGGTTCCATCATCCAACCTTGCCAAAAGATGCAAGGACCCTTCTCAATACCAACAGAGTTGACAGGGTTGCTGGTGGCACTTTTTTTTTGCTTTGGTATTCTCTATCTAAGAATTTGGTATACAATGTGCATTGCCTTATACATCTAAGTGATGATGTGAAACAGCACGGTCACCTTGATACTTTCTCGGGTTTTCCTTTTGAAAACTTCTTACGTCAAATTAAAACAATTGTTAGAAGTCCACACTTTCCTGTGGCACAAGTTATAAGACGGATATCAGAGTTGGAACATATGACCTTTTGATGGTTGTAGTGATATTTCTTACCCTAAAGTGAAAAAAATGTCACAATGATGGTCCTATTCCACAACATGTTACCTGTCCAGTCAGCCAAATTCTGCATCAAGGTTGTCACTGGTGATAATTGCATCAAAAGCAAAGACAGTATAGGTTTAGTTATAAAAAAAATTTTTCTCCTAGTTAAATCATCAAAGTTGGGAGTCTCTTCCTTCTGTCAGATATGTCTTTGAAACTGAAATGTATCAAGGTAGATGAAAGCCTTCTAAAGTATGCACTCTTGCCATTTAAAACACATTTGTGGGTATGCCGCTTCTTCATTTGGTTGAAGGTTTACAGCTGCAATCTGTAATCTAACAGATATTGCCAGATACTTGATTGTATTTTACAAACATACAGTGGGGAAAAAAAGTATTTAGTCAGCCACCAATTGTGCAAGTTCTCCCACTTAAAAAGATGAGAGGCCTATAATTTTCATCATGGGTACACGTCAACTATGACAGACAAAATTAGATATTTTTTTCCTAAACATCACATTGTAGGGTTTTTTAATGAATTTATTTGCAAATTATGGTGGAAAATAAGTATTTGGTCAATAACAAAAGTTTCTCAATACTTTTATATACCCTTTGTTGGCAATGACACAGGTCAAACGTTTTCTGTAAGTCTTCACAAGGTTTTCACACACTGTTTCTGGTATTTTGGCCCATTCCTCCATGCTGATATTCTCTAGAGCAGTGATGTTTTGGGGCTGTCGCTGGGAAACACGGACTTTCAACTCCCTCCAAATATTTTCTATGGGGTTGAGATCTGGAGACTGGCTAGGCCACTCCAGGACCTTGAAATGCTTCTTACGAAGCCACGCCTTCGTTGCCCGGGCGGTGTGTTTGGGATCATTGTCATGCTGAAAGACCCAGCCACGTTTCATCTTCAATGCCCTTGCTGATGGAAGGAGGTTTTCACTCAAAATCTCACGATACATGGCCCCATTCTTTCCTTTCCACGGATCAGTCGTCCTGGTCCCTTTGCAGAAAAACAGCCCCAAAGCATGATGTTTCCACCCCCATGCTTCACAGTAGGTATGGTGTTCTTTGGATGCAACTCAGCCTTCTTTGTCCTCCAAACACGACGAGTTGAGTTTTTACCAAAAAGTTATATTTTGGTTTCATCTGACCATATCGGATTCTCCCAATCCTCTTCTGGATCATCCAAATGCACTCTAGCAAACTTCAGACGGGCCTGGACATGTACTGGCTTAAGCAGGGGGACACGTCTGGCACTGCAGGATTTGAGTCCCTGGTTGCGTAGTGTGTTACTGATGGTAGGCTTTGTTACTTTGGTCCCAGCTCTCTGCAGGTCATTCACTAGGTCCCCCCGTGAGGTTCTGGGATTTTTGCTCACAGTTCTTGTGATCATTTTGACCCCACGGGGTGAGATCTTGCGTGGAGCCCCAGATCGAGGGAGATTATCAGTGGTCTTGTATGTCTTCCATTTCCTAATAATTGCTCCCACAATTTTTCTTCAAACCAATCTGCTTACCTATTGCAGATTCAGTCTTCCCAGCCTGGTGCGGGTCTACAATTTTGTTTCTGGTGTCCTTTGACAGCTCTTTGGTCTTGGCCATAGTGGAGTTTGGAGTGTGACTGTTTGAGGTTGTGGACAGGTGTCTTTTATACTGATAACAAGTTCAAACAGGTGCCATTAATACAGGTAACGAGTGGAGGACAGAGGAGCTTCTTAAAGAAGTTACATGTCTGTGAGAGCCAGAAATCTTGCTTGTTTGTAGGTGACCAAATACTTATTTTCCACCATAATTTGCAAATAAATTCATTAAAAATCCTACAATGTGATTTTCTTGATTTTCTTCTCTCAATTTGTCTGACATAGTTGACGTGTACCTATGATGAAAATTACAGGCCTCTCTCATCTTTTTAAGTGGGAGAACTTGCACAATTGGTGGCTGACTAAATACTTTTTTCCCCCCACTGTATATTCGTCATACAAGTTTTTGTTTTTCAGACCATATATTTGGGACTGTCTGGAGGGATGATCACCAAGAAGAATGTGTGGAGAATCCTCTCAAAACTCCTTACAAATGGCCTGGTCATGAAAATGAATTGGAGAGGGGCCAATGGGTAACAGGCTTTTGAACCTCTTGCCTTTAAAAAGTGTTGTTATCGGTAAGTTTGCTTTCAAGGCCACTGCATGGGGCAGAGAGGCATAATGTCACAGAAGTCATTCATTAAATAAAACAGGCCAGCATGTCAATTTGATTGTCAGCCGGGAAGTTCATTATTACACCACAGTTTTTCAAGGCAGGAAGAATATAATGAACTGGAAATATTTTACAAAAAGCCATTGATTAAACTATTTTGTAGGGATAGCGGAGTTGCATAAACTATGAGTCATATTTCAGGGAGTATTTCAATAAGTGTTCTATTTTCTCTCTTTTTGATATTTACAAAGGTGTTGTGCGTCGCAGCCATTCTGAAGTTCCTGATGTGGAGATAGAAAAAGACATAACTATGGATGCAGCTAGCCCCTGACAGAGATGGAGGGAGAAAAAGGAGAGCGCGAGTGAGAAGTGACCAGACCTTGGAGGAGTGATGGAGAAAACTGAATGCCTACCAGAGCTTAAATAGAAAGAAAGCTTAAAAATGTTCCATTGTTTCTGTGATCAAAAAATAAAATTAACATTTACATGTAATTCTTTAAGAGTCTTTCCTGTTAAATGTATTTTGATACTTTGTGCAAGGCAATTGATCAGCATTAAGAACTTTGTGGATGGGTATAATTTGTATGTATAAAATATGTAATAGTTATATTTAAAATGACTAAATCGGGTAATTTTGTATACATTTATTTAAATTAGCATCGGGCCACTTCTGGGGG